ATTAGCAATAGCAGCACCAGCTGTAGGGCCGAATCCGGACAGAATATTCACGACACCTTTTGGGAAACCAGCTTCTTTAAATAAGGCGGCAATTTTTAGGGCAGTCAAAGGAGTGTATTCAGATGTCTTAAGCACTACAGTGTTGCCTATGAAAAGGTATTTATTAAAAAATATTTATTATTAATAAACAACTTTAAATAACATTAATAACATTAATAACATTATTAAAATTATTAAAATGTTTTTAACATTAATACCGCATGCTAAAGCTGGTGCTAATTTCCAAGCTTGCATAGCAAGTGGAAAATTCCAAGGAATAATCGCGCCACAAACACCAATTGGTTCATGACGAGTGTAACAGAATTTATCTTGTTGGGTTTCAATAACCTACGAAAAAAATATGTATTATCACGTTTTAAATCCAAGGGGTAGGAATGTTAAGAATAAAAACAAAATTACCTTGCCATGGATCTTGTCACACCATCCGGCAAAATATCTGTAAACATCAATTGTAAAGGGAAGATCTATAGACTTTGCTATTGTAAAAGCTTTACCATTATCTAAAGCTTCAAGAGCAGCTAATTCATCGGTATCACGTTCCATTAAATCAGCAAGTTTATTTAATAATCTTCCACGTTCCTTTCCTTCCACATGAATCCATTCTTCATTAAAAGCCTTTGTAGCAGCTTCAACTGCAATGTCGACATCTTTTTCAGATGCTTCTACTACAGAAGTAATAACTTGGCCTGTTGTAGGATTGATGGTCTCAAAACGTTTGCCATCAACAGAGTCAACAAAATCGTTATTAATAAAAAGACCAATATAAACTATATAATAATAATAATAATCAAGATTAGATTAAATATATCATGATGTATCAAAAAGTATATAAAGATTAAGTACCTTTAACGGTTTTACCGTTAGGCAAAGTAATATTTTCTTCGTATTTTGAGCCCATATTTATTATTAAGGAACGAGGAATAATTAAACGAGAATTTTTTGTTGCTATGTATATATATTTATATATCTGTGATTACGTGCGTACGTATCATGGGCTGAAATTCGTCTAATTGGCTAGTTTCGTAGATCAATTTGTAGATCTACATGTGATTATTAGCCAAT